TTCTCAGCTCTGCTGCCAACTTTACACTAAAGATCCAGTTCCTTTTTCTGCATGTGCAGAAGAGGGGATGATCTTTAGTCATGCTTCATTTCTAGATTAGCAGTTGTTATTATTTTATATTTAAACCGGAGCTTGCTCCTAGTCCCGGAGATGAATCCCAGATCAGGGATTTCAAATGTAAATCACAATAATTGATGTTTATAAGTGCTCTGAGACATAGTGAATCAAATACCAACTCTTCATGGTAGCGTACTTTGTATTATTTATTGTAATGTCAGTGAAAAACTACAATTTAGTTACAGTGATCATTCCAACAAAATTCTTTAGGGAGCTATTTTGTTTTAGTTGTGTTGGTTATTTTAGACAATTCAATAACCTAGCCTCGTCTTTAAATTCCAAATAATTGAACCTAAAATATTTTGTTTGATTTAGAAAACCTGCAAAACTCTTAAAAAGTTTGGATGCATCAAACTTGTAGACCAACGATGTTTGCACAACTGAAGCCTACATAAGACTAAATGATTTGTCGCTCCCCTTAAGCCTTAATGAATTACAGCTTCTGCTTTCAAGTTCCACAGTGATCTTTCACCTCAGTCTGGGCCAACGTGATGAAAAGCACTAATTAAGGTGAGGAGAGAGGCACAAGCCTGTCGATAGCCAATGCAGCGCCCTATCTGCACTAAAAATGGAGCTTCCAACTAAAACTAAAACAACACATAAGTTTTTTTTTTACAAATACTAAAGAATGGCAAACTTCACTTTAATTAATAATTATCTAAAAACTCAACAGATTTAACTGGAAGCCTTAAATTTTCTTAGATCGTTTGCAGATGCTCAAACAGCAGAAAACACCTGTAGTCTTGTGTTTGCTTGTGCACATGTTTGCATTTGTCTTGTTATCTCCCCTTGAGCCTAAATAAGTCTAAACATGAAAGTAAAAAGCAGAAGTTAAAAAGATATGAACTTTCATATTTAAAAAAAAAAACAATGCACTGTGCAGTCTTCTCTCTCCCTTTTTTCCTGTTTCATTTAATTAGTTTTACAAAAATAAACACAAGTGAGATTTAGAGGGAAGCTACTACATGAATGTAAAATCTGAGTTTTTTTTTCTCCTATGTCTAAAGGTAGAGTACATTTAGAAATACCCACACAATAGGGAACCCAAGTCTCCTCTTTTTCTGCTTGGCTCATGGGTCCCTGGAAGAATGAAAAAAATGAAACGGGGCTAAAAGAGCTATTTTCTAATCAGCTTTGCCTTACGACCTGAATCGCACATATGTTGTACTGCAATTTTAATGAAAAGTAATGAAGTGTGTTTTTACCATGCCTATCAAGTACTTAGAGATTTATCAGCATGTAAAAGTTTGCTATTAGCATGACTAAAAATCAGACATCTGCACGCCACATAAATGACGTCACCACATAATGGGGTCAGCAGTATCTCGACAGGTTGACTGAGTCGTCCAGTAATCGGAAGGTTGCAGGTTTGATCCCGACTTCAGACAGAGAATTCTGCTGTTGTGTTCTTGGGTAAGACACTCAACCCACCTTGCCTGGTGGCAGGGGCTGCATGTCAGTGTTTTTGACAACTAAAATTGTGCCCACATTTTCTAAGTTAAACAGATCTCTTTTAACGACTGTAGTTTCTGCATCCTGCTTCAGCCCTCTCCCCCCTCCCTCTGCGCAGCGGCCGCAAACTCACGATGCGCCATCAGCTTCTCAGAAGTCCTGCTGCTCTAAACGTTAAAATAATTATTTCATTTTCTGTTCCTCACTTCTGATTACCTTCAATGTGTCTGTTTGTTGCAACCAGCAGGTACAAAAACTGACTTGTTTTTATTTGACTATTTTTCTGTCCTGTTTGTTTATTATCTTCCTGCATCTCCTCTCAATCCTAAAGAAAAACTGCTACCTGGGTTCATATATATTCACCTTATGAGTTACCTTTGAACTGTAGTTCTAAAAGATCTACCGACCGCAAAAACAGCGGAGTGCTCGCTGCGCGCCAGCCGCACCAGTAAGGTGAAGTCCAGAGGACAAAACAGGTGATGCGCTCCGCTCCACAGCAGCGAAACGCATCAGGCCCAAATAAAAGACATCCATCCATCCATCCATTTTCATCCGCTTATCCGGAGTCAAGTCGCAGTAGCCTAAGGCGAGAGGCCCAGACTTCCCTCAAGAATTATTCTGTCAAATAAAAGACAGAAAACATAAAAGGAAATGAGCCGACATGAACGATTACGTGTTGAATTTGCGTCAATGATCAGAGCTTTGCATGTGCACGCTGGTTAAGGTTAGGATGGGGGTGAGGGGAAGGTTAAATTGCAAGAGGGTAAATGTCACAATTTGGTCAAATGTCTGTTTTACGGCGGGCGTCAGATACCGACGCTCTGTCACAGCGAGTCACCTCCCAACGCGCAGGGGCCTGTCTCCTACTGTCTTTTCTGAGGACTGTATCTTGTTGGTCATTATCACGTGACAGCGACTAGTCTATGAAAGGCATAAAAAGTCACTACAGAGCAGTGAAGTCGACTAGTCGACTAGTTGATACAACCCCTACCTGGTGGTCAGAGGGACCTGTGCTCGGCAGCCTCACCTCCACCAGTGTGCCCCAGGACAGCTCATCACCATCAGTGTGTGAATGGATGAATGATACACTGTAGTGTAAAGCGCTTTGGAGGTCTCTGACTCTGAAAGGTGCTATACAAGTGCCAGTCATTTATCATAATCTCCTCTCCCCTAGAGTAGCTGCTACTTACCACATGGCCTGATTTATGGTGGTTCTCTACTCCTGAAGGAAGGATTTGAAGTTCGTTCAACTTACAGCTGTTCCCCTCTGTTTTTCCCCGTGTCTGGTTCGATGACATCGCTTTCGTGAAGCACATTAGTAGTCCTGGACTTATTTTCACACAAAACCTAAAATAGAGTTCCCCCCGTTTGAAAATAAGCGAGTTCTTGGTATCAAATTGCGTGTTTAAAATTTACGGACATCATATGTGAAACCCATGACACATAACAAGCGGAAAATAGCGTTTTTAGCCCGACTGACTTGCATTCAGCTTTTCATTCTTCCAAGGAACCATGGTCCGGAAGTAGATGAGCATTACTTAGTTTCCTTATTGTTATTATAGGGACAGCAGCAGCTCATGAGGTAGAGTGGACTGTCCAATAATCAGAAGGTTGCAAGTTCAATCCTGGCTCTGACCAGAGAATGCTGCTGTTGTGTCCATGGCCAAGACACTTAACCCACCTTGCCTGCTGGTGGTGGTTGGAGCGACTAGTGGCGCCTGTGTTCGGCAGGCCTCGCCTTTGTCAGCGTGCCCCAGGGCAGCTGTGGCTGTATCGTATCATCCTCACCAGTGTGTGAAGTTGTGAAGCGCCTTGGGGGGGATGTAGAACCCTAAGAAGGCGCTATACAAATACAGGCCATGTACCATAACCATAAAATTAAAAAAATATTTAGATAAAAAACACTTCTGCTACTTTCTGGACCAGGGAAGTCCAAAATGAGTAACTCAAAATGTAGATTTTTGTTCATGTTTTTTGTGTCTAGGTCAGCTTCTTTGGGATTTCTCAGACAAAGCTATGCTGCATAATTTTTCTGTTCATCACATTGAGGTCAGACGTTCTCCAGAAACCATTACAAATAAAACAGAAGACGCCATTTATCTCGTCTTAAACATTTCTAGAGAGATATCAGACCTATTTTTCTGGTTCTTGTACACTTTCAACCTTTTTTTTGGATTTAAATCACAAAGACAAAGGTTTGCTAAGGCATCACTGAGTGTTGTTTGGATCGTTGCTGCTTTTATGTGAGGTGTTGCCAGCACATGGTTAGAAGTTTGTTTTGCTGTTAAACTATCACAGCTAAACAGTGTGTAAAAGTTGCTATATAAAAAAATTTAACTATATAAAAATAAATTGACAAGTACATTGAGACAAGCTGAGAGAGAGTATTATAATAAAAAGGTAAAAGAAAATAAAAGTAATATTAAAGGGACTTGGAAAATTATAAATAATATTATTGGTGTTAGATCTGCACTCACTGACCTACCTAAGCAGTTTATTAATGACAATAAGGTCATTGAAAACAAAAGTGACATAGCAAATGAGTTTAATTAGTTTTTTGTTAATGTAGGACTTAATCTAGTAAACCATAAAAGAAAAGATGTGGAGCAAGTAGGAAGCCATATGAATGGAAGCAGTAGAATGCTGCAATCTATGTATCTTGGACATGTAAGTGAGACTGAAATTAGAAATGTTGTGAACAAAACCAAAAGTAAAATATCCACTGATAGTGATGTGATTGATATGGATTTTGTTAAAAAGACTAAGCCTTTAAGTTACAATTCTCATCTTTCATTTCAGCCTGGAGTTTTTCCAGACAAAATGAAATACTGTCTTTACTTTCACAATTCTCAAAAGTGCTTGACAAATTATTTGCACAAAAATTAGATGCATTCATTAAAAAGCATAAGTTCTTGAGTGAGAGTCAGTATGGTTTAAGATCGAATAGACCAACAGCTTTTGCACTGCTGGAAATAGTCAATGTCAGAAGTCATTAAAATAATGACTCGAGTCTGACTGGAGTCCACACCTCTGCCTATTACTAACTTATATTTGAAGCAGTTGTCCTCTGGCACAGAAAATGTTTAAAATTTAGGCTTGCACGATAAGAGTAACTTAAAATGCTGACTTTTTCATTTTTTAGGACGGGGACACAGTATATATCGGTATCGGATGAATGAGACAATTTCGAGCATCCCTAGATTTTACATGTACTCTGTGCAGAATTAAACCAAATGTAGTGATTTATTAAAGTAATACTAGGCAGTTTTAGCACCCCCTAGTGTCCATTTAGTTGTTGCGCGGTTCATTTTTGAATTAAACTTCTGGTAAATCCGAGATATGACGCACTTTAGCATGGGCCGACCCAAAAGCATCACATGTAAAACAGCATTTAATGCAACGTTAAAGAGCAGATGTGCTGAAAAGCTCACCTGTAAATGATGCAGGCGCTGTTTCGACATGTATCACAGTTTGCTGTGTCTTGACCTGTTCTATAGGAGAGCCTGTGTGAGGGGAGAAAGAGAGGAAAACACATTTATTGGGTTTACCTTTACATTTCAGCACCTCTGGGCTTCAGCAATATAATCTGTTCTACTTTGTTTCACCTTGCCTTGTGTAAATCTGTAAAATAAAGGATTTCTATCTTATAATTGGTTAATTAAGTGTGTGAACTTGCTAATTCAACCTAATAAGATTAGTTTGCTTTGCTATCTAAAAGGATGAATACATCTTCTGTAAACACGTCTTTCGTCTTTATTAATGCACAACCTGTGCTACTCTTTTTATTTTTGTACCCCATCTGACTCAATTTGGTATGAACAGTTTTTTTTAACAATCAATTGATGCAGCCTAGAATTAATCAATAATTATCCAAGTGAGCAGATACAACAAACTGCTATCCCAAAAGGTATGACTTTTAATAAACTATCATTTATAGTGAAATTCTTTTCTTATGCAACTGCATGTACAGGTAAAGGCTTCAGTGATATGGGAATAAAATGGGGAGGCCTGTGTTAGGATCGCTTGTGTAATAGCTTGATGTCAGAATAGCCCTTCACCTGATGGATGACATCTGGGGGGGGGGGGTTGACCTCAACTGTGCATGATGGCACCAGAGGTGACCACATCAGGGGAAGCTGAACAGCATCTGTGTAGATCGAAAATGCTGATGGGGGCTGGAGGGCAACAAGTTCATCCATCCCGACCCCTTCTTGAATAAAGTGTGCTGGACAGCTGTGAGCAAGAATGGTAACTCAGCGCATTGACAAGGTCTGCTCCGGTGCCACGATGCAGCATGGATTTTCACCTAGACCATTGTAATTTAAAGAGCTTCGCTCTAATAACTGAAATGCATTAACCTAAATTTATAATCGCTGACTGTTCTCAACATAACCTTTTCCTAGTCAGAGGGAAATGTTCATAATCCCTGTCTACTGAGACTGTTACAACACAGAACGCTAGTTACATAGATGTTTTTGCAGGTTCATCTCAAATCAAACTCTGGCTTGCTGCTGCATTCTTTCCACAGGTTAGCTTTTGAATTTTCTCATGGACGACATTTCCTCTGTGATAAAATAAAATAAAAAAACTTCTTTGTTTGCACACTATCCTCTGTGTAAAATGCCACATTTCATGACGTTTGTAGCATACAATCCCTCTCACATAAAGGCATTTCAGCAGTTTTATTCTTGACATTTTCAGTACCTTCCAGAATGAGCTGTAATTTCCTGTTTGTGACGTCACAATAGGAAACTTTTTGAACTTTTTGGCTTCTTTTAGACACATAATTCCTATAACCAAACACTGATAGAAAACATATGAATGGATGTTTTGGCACTGGAGTTTTTATAGAGGCAGGAAATACCCACATGGCAACACAAAAGGATGCAAAAAGTAAGCTTTGCCTAAAACAGGTGGGACTCGATATGTTAGCATATCGACCAAATGGTAAATGGCCTGCATTTGTATAGAGCCTTCAAGGGTTCTACAACCCCTCAAGGTGTTCACAACACAACCAATCATCCACCCACACACATATTCACACGCTGGTGATGATGTGCTTCAGTGTAGCCACAGCTGCTCTGGGGCGCACTGACGGAGGTGAGACTGGTGCCACCGGTCCCTCTGACCATCACCATCAGGCTAGATGGGTTAATCATCTTGCCCACAACCTTCCGGTTATGAGACGGGCACTTAACTCCTCTGCTGCCACCATCCAGAACAGCAAAAGTTAATTTATGTCAGTAGAAGCGAAAAGGACCCTAACCAAGTAGTGAGTACATATGTATGATTATCCCGCTTCAAAGGTCCTACATTTCTCTATTTAAAATCCTTGTTTTGTTGCTTTCATGTAATATTCTATTCGTCTGAGATTTTGAATGTGGGGTTTTCATAAACTGTAAGCCACAATCATCACAATTACAACAAATAAAGGCCTGAAATATCTGGCTTTGTATGGAATGAGTCTATCTCATATATTAGTTTCACCTTTTTATTACTGAAATAAATGAATAAATGAACTGCTTATTCTATGTTTTGAGTTTCACCTGTTTAGCTTTTTTAATATACCATGAATGTTCTCCCTGGGCTGCCACCTTACCGTGGTGGAGGGGTTTGAGTGTCTCAATGATCCTAGGAGCCAAGTTGTCTGAGGCTTTCTGCCTCTGGTAGGGTCACCCATGGCAAACAGGTCCTAGGTGAGGGATCAGACAAAGAGCAGCCCAAAGACCTCTCATGATGAATTGTACAAATGGAAACCGTGTTCCCTCGCCCGGACATGGGTCACTGGGGCCCCCCTCTGGAGCCAGGCCTGGAGGTGCGGCATGTTGGCGAGCACCTGGTGGCCTGGAGCCCAGCTGGGCACAGCCTGAAAAGGAAACATGGGTCCCCCTTCCCATGGGCTCACCACTCGTGGGAGGGGCCAAAGGGGTCAGGTGCAGAGTGTGACGGGTGGTAGTCGAGGGCAGGGACCTTGGCGGTCTGATCCTTGGCTACAGAAGCTGGCTCTTGGCACATGGAATGTCACCTCTCTGGTGGGGAAGGAGCCTGAGTTGGTGTGTGAGGTTGAGAGGTTCTGACTTGATATAGTCGAACTCACCTCAACGCATTGCTCTGGAACCAGTTTCCTTGAGAGGGGTTGGACTTTCTACCACTCTGGAGTTGCTCCCACTGAGAGGTGCCGAGCAGGGGTGGGCATACTAGTTGCCCCCCCATCTTGGTGCATGCACGTTGGGGCTTACCCCAGTGAATGAGAGGGTAGCCTCCCTCCGCCTACATGTGGGGGGGATGGATTCTGACTGTGGTCTGTGCTTCTGCACCAAACTACAGTTCAGGCTACCCACCCTTTTTGGAGACCTTGGAGGGGGTGCTGGATAGCGCTCATTCCAGTGACTCCCTCGTTCTGCTGGGGGACTTTAACGCTCACGTGGTCAACGACAGTGAGACCTGGAGAGGTGTGGTTGGGAGGAACGGCCCCCCAATCGGAATTCGAGTGGTGTTTCATTATTGGACTTCTATGCCAGACATGGGTTGTCCATAATGAACACCATGTTAAGATATAAAGGTGTCCATATGTGCTCTTGGCACCAGGATACCTTAGGCCGCAGCTCGATGATCGACTTTGTTGTTGTTTCATCTGACCTGCGGCCGCATGTCTTGGACACTCAGGTGAAGAAAGGGGCGGAGCTGTCACCTGACCACTACCTGGTGGTGAGTTGGCTCGGGTGGGGGGGGGGGGGGGCAGTGCGCTACCAACACTATCTATAGTGTGGATGGTGTGCTGCTGACCTCTACTCAGGACATTGTGGATCAGTGGGCAGAATACTTCGAAGAGCTCCTCAATCCCACTGACACGTCTTCCAGGGAGGAAGCAGAGTCTGGGGACTTTGGGTTGGCCTCTCAAATCTCTGGTGCTGAGGTCACTGAGGTGGTTAAAAAGCTCCTCTGTGGCAAGGCTCCAGGGGTGGATGAGATCCGCCCGGAGTTCCTTAAGGCTCTGGATGTTGTGGGGCTGTGTTGGCTGATGCGGCTCTGCAATATCGCGCGGACATTGGGGGAAGACCCACTGGACTGGCAGACTGGGGTGGTGTTCCACTTATTTAAAAAGGGGGGACCGCAGGGTGTGTTCCAACTACAGGGGGATCACACTTCTGAGCCTTCCTGGTAAGGGCTATTCAGGGATTCTGGTCCATCGGATTGTTGAACCTCAGATTCAGGAGGAGTAATGTGGTTTTCGTCCTGGCCGTGGAGCACTGGACCAGCTCTATACCCTTAGGGGGATCCTGGAGGGTGCGTGGGAATTTGCCCAACCAGTCTACATGTGTTTTGTGGATTTGGAGAAGGCGTTTGACCGCGTCCCTCAGGGGGCCCTGTGGGGGGTACTCTGGGAGTATGGGGTACCAGGCCCTTTGATACGGGCTGTTAGGTCCCTGTATGTCCAGTGTCAGAGCTTGGTCTGCTTTGCCGGCAGTAAGTCGGGCTCGTTCCACGTGAGAGTTGGACTCCGCCAAGGCTGCCCTTTGTCACAGATTCTGTTCATAACTTTTATGAACAGAATTTCTAGGCACAGCCAAGGTGTGGAAGGGATCTGTTTTGGTGGCCTGAGGATCAGGTCTCTGCTTTTTGCAGATGATGGGGTCCTGTTGGCATCATCAGAACGTGATCTTCAGCTTTCGCTGGAGTGGTTCGCAGCCGAGTGGGAAGCAGCTGGGATGAGAATCAGCTCCTCTAAATCTGAGACCATGGTCTTGATTCAGAAAAGGGTAGAATGCCTTCTCCGGGTCAGGGACGAGGCCTTGCCCCAAGTGGAGGAGTTTAAGTATCTCGGGGTCTTGTTCACGAGTGAGGGAAAACTGGAGCGTGAGATTGATAGGCGGATTGGTGCTGCATCTGCAGTGATGCAGGCATTGTCCTGGTCTGTCGTGGTGAAGAGAGAGCTGAGTCCAAAGGCAAAGCTCTCGATTTACTGGTCGATCTACGTTCCTACCCTCACCTATTGTCATGAGCTTTGGATAGTGAACGAAATAATGAGAACGCGGATACAAGCGGCTGAAATGAGTTTTCTTTGAAGAGTGGCTGGGCTCTCCCTTAGAGATAGGGCGATAAGCTCGGTCATTCAGGAGGGGCTCGGAGTAGACCCACTGCTCCTCCACATCGAGAGGAGCCAGTTGAGGTGGCTCGGGCATCTGGTCAGGATGCCTCCTGGACACCTCCCTGGTGAGGTTTTCTGGGCACGTCCAACCGGGAGAAGACCTAAAGGTAGACCCAGGACACGGTGGAGGGACTATGTCTCTCACCTGGCCAGGGAACGCCTTGGGATTCCCCCGGAGGAGCTGGCCCAAGTGGCTGGGGAGAGGGAAGTCTTGGCCTCTCGCCTTAGGCTACTGTCCCCATGACCCGACTCCGGATAAGCGGATGAAAATGGATGGATGGATGGATGGATGGATGGATGGATGGATGGAAGGATGAATGTTCTCATGCAATGTCACTTAATCTATTACCATTT